GTGAAATTCATTTTATCTTACTTTTTGGCAGGTTTATTTTGTGATACATTGTCACTGCACTTGACTTTTTTGATGTCTTCTAAGATTTAATTGAGATTTGAATGGAGATTCGCACCCCGGCCGACCAGTACAAATTCATTTGAATTTTGGTGCATGTGAATCAACGAACCAAAACAGGCGGTATCAACGCTAGAATAGAATGATGCCTTTTTTTTCTTTCAAATTTTGATTGGCGATCATTTCTTACAGGATGTTTGATGTTGGTGGTCAACGCTCGGAGCGAAAAAAATGGATCCATTGTTTTGAGGGTGTAACAGCAATCATATTTTGTGTTGCGATGTCCGAATATGATATGAGGCTTGCCGAGGACGATGAGATGGTATACACAGCACTGTTATGCTCTTTTATATTTAAAAAATTGTAGCAGTAAGTTTATGAGAAGGTCACAGACAAGGACTTTTGCGCGTCGATGGAAGTGAAGTGAAGTAGGCTGAAGCGCATTTGGCTGTGTTGCAGAATCGCATGGTTGAAAGCATGAAATTGTTCGATTCAATTTGCAACAACAAATGGTTCACGGACACATCGATAATATTGTTTTTGAACAAGAAAGATCTCTTTGAAGAAAAAATTCGAAAATCACCGTTAACATTGTGTTTTCCGGAGTACGCTGGTCAGTTTTAGTCTTATTTTCGTTGCTGTTGCTGAATTCAAGCTAAGCCTGCTTGAAATTAATGGATTTTCCTTCAGTTTGAGCTATCGAGTCAAACATGCCCGGGTCATCCGGTAAGGCTGAGGTCAAAGATTGATGAATGTGATTGATTGCGTTCTTATTATTCTGCTTACTGCTATCCACTTGTTAGAACGAACATTGCCATTTTCGGCCGCTTGGCTACAGCTAATGGTGCTAGTTTGCCTGTGCATGCTTTCTGTGTTACTTAATCAGCTGAATGAGAAATAGAAAGGAAAGACTGTGGAAGCCCAGCCAAAATAGGTCTTTCCACACAGGATTGACGGGGATGTCGGAGTTGTGAAGTGGTAATTTGCGGCTGTTGTTAGGCCGAAGCGTATCATGTAAATCAATAAGTGGTTGTGCAAATCAAAGGAAGTTTTTACAGGTACGAATACGTATGAGGAAGCAGCTGCTTACATTCAGTTACAGTTCGAGAATCTCAATAAGCGTAAAGATGGGCAGAAGGAAATCTACACGCATTTCACGTGTGCAACCGATACCAACAACATTCGTTTCGTATTCGATGCAGTCACCGATATAATCATCAAGGAGAATTTGCGGCAGTGCGGGCTTTTCTAGTGTGCTGCAGTCAGTAGTACAGGGGATTGATTCCTCTTGCTTGCTTGCATTGGTGCTGCTGCTGACTCCCACTCTACGCCAAGAGATTCATGGAGCAGCCAATCTCCCGTGGCGTGTGTGTGTGTGTGTTCAAGCACTTTGAACACCAAAAATTCGAGCAAGAGCAATCCTAGTGCTTGCATCTATGGAAATTTGGGCCCATGCAAAATTTGGCGATAATTTATTGTTTCATTTTTGCAGCAGAGCATTACTTTTTTTTTTTTTTTTTGCAACAGAATCTAATCAGTAACATCATCATTGCCGAAACTCGGTGGCGTCAGCAGCAGCAGCAGCAGCACAGTTCAGCACAGGCGGTGAGCCTCTGTTGTTGGCATCATTATTCGCCGTTGAGA